GGCTGGCAGGGGGGGCAGTTAGGGGTGACCATTGTTACACCCAGGTTTTGTTCCTATTTTTTGTTGTTATTTTTTGGCTGTGGTATAATTTGCCTACTTATTTCTAGTTCTTTCTCTGTATGTGATACTTGGTCTCTTAAATTGTGGTCTGTTAATTGAATACTAAATTCTGGTCTGCAGTAGTCTATTTCCCAACATAAAGATAAAGATGTAGTCCAGAGGCTTTCTTTCAGGTCTCATAAAGACATTCATTCATTCATTCCTCAAAGGTATAAGTACTTAGAATGTGTTAAATCAGGTGCATATCCTAAGTGACACTGCGAGTTCTTGAAGAAGCTAATCCTCAAAAAATAGCCATATTGTAGCCAGAAATACATAAACTTTAAATATAGTATTTAAATATAATGCAGTACATATTGTAAAAGTACATAGAAAGTACATTTTATCAAAATGCAAAAAGGAAACAGTTAATTCTGCCTTACATTGGGCGGATGACATGGAATGTGGAGGGATGAATGCTGGCAGAAGGAGGATATCCCAGGCAGAGGGAAATACAATGGTGTGTTAACAATACAAAGTCAATACTATTGTATTGGGTAGAGTATGAGAGAAGCACAATGAAAATTGCCTCTGAAACTTTTGCTGGAGAAATGTATGTATGATCCGTTGGGATGGAAGAGACTGAAATCAGGACTGTCAGTTAGGAGGTAACTGTCATCCATATGGCTTTACATCTAAGGCCAAGGAATTTGTACCATCATGGTAAAAGCAGCACTTACAGCATCTAAGGCATATAGAGAAAGATAAGGAATTTGTACCATCATGGTAAAAGCAGCACTTACAGAAGGAAATTAGTTCCCTTAGAAAAATTTTTCTACACATGGCAAAGTGCTTCATATCTTACTTTAGTTTCCTTCACAAGTAGACCCTGAGGAAAGGATTTCAAAGCATGTAGTTTATTTAGAGACTAGAGGCCCGATGCCCGAAATTCCTGCAAGCGGCATGGCCTCTGCCTCTGCCCATTGCAGCGGCCACCTCAGCCTTCGATTGGAAGGTCATCCAGAAGGACATCTGGTCTAATTAGCATATTACACTTTTATTATTATAGATAATACAGGGAGCACCAGTAGGGGAGTGGGGAAGTGAGACTAGGAAGGGAAGAGAGACAGCCAATAAAGGATTTTCAACAGTCAAGTGAATTAACATTGTGGGTAACTGAAACTTAATTCTGCTAATGAACTGTGGAAGCCAGTGTAGACTCAGTTATTCTGCCAATTCCCTTCATTCATTGTTATCAGGCTCTTCCAGAGCAGTGGGGACATGAATTCTGCAATACCCACAGCCTTTACACAGTTGGTGAGCAGAGGAGGCTCAGGTGGCCAGAGAAAGGCAGAAGGCGGAAATGCACATGCAGGTTGTTGGAGGGAAGCAGGTGACACTGAAGTAGTAAAGGCAAGAAAAGATGGCCAGGGTTCTATTTTACCCTCAAAACAACTAATTATTGTCATTACTTCATTTTATTTTTCTACTTATATGCCCTAGAGTTAATCTTTAAAGAGGAAGGGTTGTTGCCCTAATCGGTTTAGCTCAGTGGATAGAGCGTTGGCCTGTGGACTGAAGGGTCCCGGGTTCGATTCTGGTCAAGGGCATCTACCTTGGTTGTGGGCACATCTCCAGTAGGGGGCATGCAGGAGGCAGCTGATCGATGTTTCTAATTCTCTATCCCTCTCCCTTCCTCTCTGTAAAAAATCAATAAAATATATTTTTTTTTAAAAGAGGAAGGGTGGTTGTTGTTTTTCCTTAGTGGAACACTCCTTATTTTTCTCATAACCTTTTAAAAAATATTTTTATTGTTGAGAATATTACAGATCCCCCCTTTTTTTCTCCCTTTGTCCCCCACCACCCTATTGTCAGTGTTCATGGGCAATGCGTATAATTTCCTTGGTTAATTTCTTCTCGCCCCCACCCTGCCCCCCTTCTCTTTGAGATTCTTCAGTCTGTTCCATGTTTCCATGCCTCTGGTTCTATTTTATTTATAAGTTTATTGTGTTCATTAGATTCCAATATAAGTGAGATCATGTGATGTTTCTCTGACTGGTATATTTCACTTAGCATAATCATTTCCATGTCCCTCCAGGCTATTTCAAATGATAATAGATCCTTCCTTTTTATATCTGTATAGTATTCCATTGTGTATATGTACCATAGCTTTTTTATCCACTCATCTACTGATGGGCACTTAAGCTGTTTCCAGAGCTTAACTAGTATAAATAACATTGCTATGAACATAAGTGTGCATATATTCTTCCTTATTGGTGTTTTGGGATTCTTAGGATATATTCCCAGAAGTAAGAATACTGGGTCAAACAGCAGTTCCATTCTTAATTTTTGAGGAAACTCCACACTATTTTCCATAGTGGCTGCACCAGTCTGCATTCCCACCCATAGTATACTACGGTTCCTTTTTCTCCATATCCTTGCCAGCACTTGTCGTTTGTTGATTTATTGATAGTAGCCATTTTGGCTGGTGTGAGGTGGTACTGCATTGTCGTTTTAATTTGCATATCTCTGATGATTACTGATGTTAAGCATTTTTTCATCTCTCTCTTGGTCATTTGTACGTCCTCTTTAGAGAATTGTCTATTCAGGTCCTCTGCCCATTTTTTAGTTGGATATTTTTCTTCCTTTTGTTGAGTTGTATGAATACTTTATATATTTTGAAAATTAACCCCTTATCGGATGTACCATTGGCAAATATGTTTTCCCATACAGTGGGTTCCCTGTTCATTTTGACGATGGTTTCTTTTGCTGTGCAGAAGCTTTTTAGTTTGATGTAATCCCATTTGTTTATTTTTTTTCCCTTTGTTTCTCTTGCCCTAGGAGATGTATTGGTGAAATTTCTGCTCTGTGAGATGTCTGATATTTTGCTGCCTATATTTTATTCTAGGATTTTTATGGTTTCATTACTTACATTTAAGTCTTTTCTCCATTTTGAGTTTATTCTTTCTTTTTAAACTCTTTATTGTTGAAAGTATTACAGATGTTCCCTTTTTTTCCCTTGTTGACCCTCCTCCACTCCACTCCTGCCTCCCCCCAGGCCTTCCCTGCAATATCGTTTGTCCATGGGCTATTCATATATCCATATACATTCTTTCATTAATCTCTTCCTGCCCTCCCTTCCCTCTGATATATGTCAGTCAGTTGCATGTTTCTATGTCTCTGGATTTGTTTTGTTCATCAATTTATTTTGTTCACTAGATTCCACATATAAGTGATATCATGTGATACTTGTCTTTCTCTGACTGGCTTATTTCACTTAGCATAATACTCTCCAGGTTCTTCCATGCTATCTCAAAGGGTAAGAGTTTCTTCTTTTTTACAGCTGCATATTATTCCATTGTGTAAATATATACCACAGGTTTTTATTAGTTTATTCTGCATATGGTGTAAGTTGGTGGTCTAGTTTCATTTTTTTGCATGTGCCTATCCAATTTTCCCAGCACCATTTATTGAAGAGACTATCTTTATTCCATTGTATGCTCTTCCCTCCTTTGTCAAATATTAATTAAGCATAAAGGCTTGCTTTGATTTCTGGGTTCTCTGTTCTGTTCCATTGATCTATATGCCTGTTCTTGTGCCAGAACCAAATTGTTTTTATTACAGTAGCTTTGTAGTATAATTAATATCCGATATTGTGATTCCTCCAACTTTGTTCTTCTTTCTTTCTTAAGATTGCTGCTGCTATTTGAGGGTCTTTTTTGGTTCCACATAAATTTTTGGAGTATTTGTTCTAGATCAGTGAAATATGCAATTAGTATTTTAATAGAGATTGCATTGAATCTATAGATTACTTTGGGTAGTATGGACATTTTACTGATGTTAATTCTACCAATTCCTGAACATGGTATATTCTTCCAATTGTTTATATCTTCTCATCTCTTTTTTTCAACATCCTGTAGTTTTCCAAGTATAGCTCTTTTACATCCTTGGTTAAGTTTATTCCTAAGTATCTTAACTTTTTTGTTGCAATAGTAAATGGGATTGTTGATGATATATATTTTTTTTAGTTTCTATTTCTGGGAGTTCATTATTGATGTATAAAAATTCCATTGACTTCTGGGTGTTAAAGAAGCAGTTTTAAATGTTCTGACACTGAATATTCTTTTTTTTCCTGACACTGAATATTCTTATTCTTTTCTTATGGTAGGATAACCAACACTTGCTGAAAACAGTAACTGAACAAAGTGTGGAAATCGAGAAACTCCGAAAACAACTTAGGTATTTTTAAAAATGAATTTTGTTATTTTAGTATTACTAATTGTTTTTCTTCAGAGGAACTGATGATGCCATAATTTTTCCCATGGGTTTTTCCCCCTTCCCTTTTACATTTCTGTCAATAGCTATTTGTGTGATCTATTGGGATGGGAAGAGACTGAAATCAAAACTATTAGTGAGCCCTAGCCAGTTTTGCTCAGTGGATAGCACGTCGGCCCTTGGACTAAAGGGTCCTGGGTTCAATTCCAGTCAAGGGCACATATCTTGGTTCTTGGTTGCAGGCTCAATCCCCCGCATTTTGGAGGCAACCAGTAGATGTGACTCTCTCACATCATTGTTTCTCTGTTTGTCCCCGTCCCTTCTACTCTCTCTGAACATCAATGGCAAAATATCCTCAGTGAGGATTAATTAAAAAAAAAAAACTATTAGTGAGGAGGCAAATATATATATAAAGGGATGTTTCATGATGTTAAAACCAGTGGTTATGGAAGAAAATCAAATTCCTTAGGTAAAATTTTTTCACATGTATCTTTCTTTGGATTCCCCCATAAGCAGACCCTGAGAAAAGGGTTCTGAGCATGTAGTTTATTTAGATGTTAGGGGAGTAGAGAAGTGAGACAGGGAAGAGGAAGAGAAGGCGTCAATAAAGGGTTTTTAATAAGGCATTTTAATACTGTGTATGTATATTGTGGTCCAGTGGTTTAATAATCACTGCATTAATAAATTCACAAGAATACCTCCAAGTGACAAAAAAATTTTTGGCACTTTTTGTTCCTCTCACTCGTGATACTTAAAATTAAGAAGTGTAGTCCTCTAAGGTTTTGTTCTATGCTGCAGACATTTACAAATATCTTTAAATTGTAGTGTATATAGAAAAGAGAGAAGAACCTACAACTGAGCTCAGAGTCGTAAAGATAAAGAGGAGGAATCAACAAAAGAGGCTGAGCAGAGACCAGTGAGATAGGAGACACGAGGAAGTGTGTCCTGGAGGTTAAGTGAAGGACATATATCAAGGAGGAAGACATGATTGCTGAGTGAAGTGCAATTAATGCTAGATAAAGCAGGATGAGTTCATTGAATTTAGCAACATAGAAGTTGTATTAGCTTCCCACCTGCCTTAACAAATGATAATTGGTGGCTTAAAACAACAAATTTATTCCTCATAGTTCTGGAGACTAGATGTTTGAAATCAAGGGGTTAGTAGGGCCGTGCTCCCTCAAGGCTTTGGGGGAGAATCTTTCTTTGCCTCTGCAGCTGCTGGTAGCCTGAGGTACTTCTTGGCTCCTGGCAGCATAACTCTCATCTCCTCTCACCTTCATCTTCACTTGACCTTGTTTTCTGTCTCTGTGTACCCTCTCCTCCTTCATAAGCATGAAAGTCTTAGGATTTAGAGCCCACCCTTATCTAGGATGATTCATCTTGAGATCCTTACCTTGATTACTTCTACAAAGTCCTTGTTTCCAAATAAAGTTTCAGGTAAACCTGAATTTGGGGGTGGGGGATACAGTCACTATTCAACCCACTGCAGGGGTCATTGTGGTTTTAACAAGAGTACTTCAGAATCTACTCTCTTTTCAGATTCATACAAATCATTAAAAAACATAGAACTCATTCTGGCTGGTAAAAGTCATAGCAATCAGGAAAACTCATGTTGAAGTAATGTAATACTTCTTTACACCCAGTTATCAATGTCAAAAATATAATGTGGAATGTAATAACAAGTGCAAAAGGAGCTTAAAGAATGATGCAATTTATATACATTTTAAATGTTTTAAATAATAGTGTGTGTTGATTATGTATATACTAGAGGCCCGGTGCACAAAAATTTGTGCACTCGGGGGGCGGGGGGAAGGGGGGTCCCCCAGCCCGGCCTGTGCCCTCTCGCAGTCTGGGACCCCTCGGGAGATAATGACCTGCTGGCTTAGGCCTGCTCCCGGGTGGCAGAGGGCAGGCCCAATCCCTAAGTGCAGCCCCTGGTCAGGCTCAGAGCAGGGCCGATTGGGGAGTTGGGGCGCCGCCCCGTCATGCACAGAGCAGGGCGGATCGGGAGGTTGCAATGCCACCCTCAGTCACGCTCAGGGTAGGGCCGACTGGGGGGTTGGGGCACTGCCCCCTGTCACACTCAGGGCAGGGCCAATGGGGAGGTTATGGCTCTACCCCATCACACACAGAGCAGGGCCC